TTGATCTATGGAATAAGAGCAACCAACCCTCTTACCTGTATCAAACCATTATATATATATATATAAAATATATATATATATATATATAATATATATATATATAAAATATATATATATATATATATATATATATATAATATATATATATATATATATATATATATATATATATATTATATATATATAAGTATAAAATCACACTTATATATATATATGTCACACTTCACAGACATGCACATGCATATATATATACATACATCTAGGTTTTTCTTCTTTTTCTACATAGCTCTTGTTCTTCTTTATTTCTTCTATTGTCCATGGGGAAGTGGAAAAGAATCTTTTCCTCCGTAAGCCATGCGTGTCGTACGAGGCGACTAAAATGCCGGGAGCAATGGGCTAGTAACCCCTTCTCCTGTAGACATTTACAAAAAAAGAGAAGAAGAAAAACTTTATAAAACTGGGATGCTTAAATGTGCGTGGATGTAGTGCGGATGACAAGAAACAGATGATTGCTGATGTTATGAATGAAAAGAAGTTGGATGTCCTGGCCCTAAGCGAAACAAAGCTGAAGGGGGTAGGGGAGTTTCGGTGGGGGGAAATAAATGGGATTAAATCTGGAGTATCTGAGAGAGTTAGAGCAAAGGAAGGGGTAGCAGTAATGTTGAATGATCAGTCATGGAAGGAGAAAAGAGAATATGAATGTGTAAATGCAAGAATTATGTGGATTAAAGTAAAGGTTGGATGCGAGAAGTGGGTCATAATAAGCGTGTATGCACCTGGAGAAGAGAGGAATGCAGAGGAGAGAGAGAGATTTTGGGAGATGTTAAGTGATGTATAGGAGCCTTTGAACCAAGTGAGAGAGTAATTGTGGTAGGGGACCTGAATGCTAAAGTAGGAGAAACTTTTAGAGAGGGTGTGGTAGGTAAGTTTGGGGTGCCAGGTGTAAATGATAATGGGAACCCTTTGATTGAACTTTGTATAGAAAGGGGTTTAGTTATAGGTAATACATATTTTAAGAAAAAGAGGATAAATAAGTATACAAGATATGATGTAGGGCGAAATGACAGTAGTTTGTTGGATTATGTATTGGTAGATAAAAGACTGTTGAGTAGACTTCAGAATGTACATGTTTATAGAGGGGCCACAGATATATCAGATCACTTTCTAGTTGTAGCTACACTGAGAGTAAAAGGTAGATGGGATACAAGGAGAATAGATGCATCAGGGAAGAGAGAGGTGAAGGTTTATAAACTAAAAGAGGAGGCAGTTAGGGAAAGATATAAACAGCTATTGGAGGATAGATGGGCTAATGAGAGCATAGGCAATGGGGTCGAAGAGGTATGGGGTAGGTTTAAAAATGTAGTGTTAGAGTGTTCAGCAGAAGTTTGTGGTTACAGGAAAGTGGGTGCGGGAGGGAAGAGGAGCGATTGGTGGAATGATGATGTAAAGAGAGTAGTAAGGGAGAAAAAGTTAGCATATGAGAAGTTTTTACAAAGTAGAAGTGATGCAAGGAGGGAAGAGTATATGGAGAAAAAGAGAGAGGTTAAGAGAGTGGTGAAGCAGTGTAAAAAGAGAGCAAATGAGAGAGTGGGTGAGATGTTATCAACAAATTTTGTTGAAAATAAGAAAAAGTTTTGGAGTGAGATTAACAAGTTAAGGAAGCCTAGAGAACAAATGGATTTGTCAGTTAAAAATAGGAGAGGAGAGTTATTAAATGGAGAGTTAGAGGTATTGGGAAGATGGAGGGAATATTTTGAGGAATTGTTAAATGTTGATGAAGATAGGGAAGCTGTGATATCGTGTATAGGGCAAGGAGGAATAATATCTTGTAGGAGTGAGGAAGAGCCAGTTGTGAGTGTGGGGGGAAGTTCGTGAGGCAGTAGGTAAAATGAAAGGGGGGTAAGGCAGCCGGGATTGATGGGATAAAGATAGAAATGTTAAAAGCAGGTGGGGATATAGTTTTGGAGTGGTTGGTGCAATTATTTAATAAATGTATGGAAGAGGGTAAGGTACCTAGGGATTGGCAGAGAGCATGCATAGTTCCTTTGTATAAAGGCAAAGGGGACAAAAGAGAGTGCAAAAATTATAGGGGGATTAGTCTGTTGAGTATACCTGGTAAAGTGTATGGTAGAGGCTTTAGGAAAGGTAGGGGGTGTGTGGACCAGGTGTTTACAGTGAAACATATAAGTGAACAGTATTTAGATCAGGCTAAAGAGGTCTTTGTGGCATTTATGGATTTGGAAAAGGCGTATGACAGGGTGGATAGGGGGGCAATGTGGCAGATGTTGCAGGTGTATGGTGTAGGAGGTAGGTTACTGAAAGCAGTGAAGAGTTTTTACGAGGATAGTGAGGCTCAAGTTAGAGTACATAGGAAAGAGGGAAATTATTTCCCAGTAAAAGTAGGCCTTAGACAAGGATGTGTGATGTCACCGTGGTTGTTTAATATATTTATAGATGGGGTTGTAAGAGAAGTAAATGCGAGGGTTTTGACAAGAGGCGTGGAGTTAAAAGATAAAGAATCACACATAAAGTGGGAGTTGTCACAGTTGCTCTTTGCTGATGACACTGTGCTCTTGGGATTCTGAAGAGAAGTTGCTGAGATTGGTGGATGAATTTGGTAGGGTGTGCAAAAGAAGAAAATTAAAAGTGAATACAGGAAAGAGTAAGGTTATGAGGATAACAAAAATATTAGGTGATGAAAGATTGGATATCAGATTGGAGGGAGAGAGTATGGAGGAGGTGAATGTATTCAGATATTTGGGAGTGGACGTGTCAGCGGATGGGTCTATGAAGGATGAGGTGAATCATAGAATTGATGAGGGGAAAAGGGTGAGTGGTGCACTTAGGAGTCTGTGGAGACAAAGAACTTTGTCCTTGGAGGCAAAGAGGGGAATGTATGAGAGTATAGTTTTACCAACACTCTTATATGGGTGTGAAGCATGGGTGATGAATGTTGCAGCGAGGAGAAGGCTGGAGGCAGTGGAGATGTCATGTCTGAGGGCAATGTGTGGTGTGAATATAATTCAGAGAATTCGTAGTTTGGAAGTTAGGAGGAGGTGCGAGATTACCAAAACTGTTGTCCAGAGGGCTGAGGAAGGGTTGTTGAGGTGGTTCGGACATGTAGAGAGAATGGAGCGAAACAGAATGACTTCAAGAGTGTATCAGTCTGTAGTGGACGGAAGGCGGGGTAGAGGTCGGCCTAGGAAAGGTTGGAGGGAGGGGGTAAAGGAGGTTTTGTGTGCGAGGGGCTTGGACTTCCAGCAGGCGTGCGTGAGCGTGTCTGATAGGAGTGAATGGAGACGAATGGTTTTTAATACTTGACGTGCTGTTGGAGTGTGAGCAAAGTAACATTTATGAAGGAGTTCAGGGAAACCGGCAGGCCGGACTTGAGTCCTGGAGATGGTAAGTACAGTGCCTGCACTCTGAAGGAGGGGTGTTAATGTTGCAGTTTAAAAACTGTAGTGTAAAGCACCCTTCTGGCAGGACAGTGATGGAGTGAATGATGGTGAAAGTTTTTCTTTTTCGGGCCACCCTGCCTTGGTGGGAATCGGCCAGTGTGATAATAAAAAATAATATATATATATATATATATATATATATATATATATATATATATATATATATATATATATATATATATATATATAAACACTGATCTCTGGCCGATAGAGACTCGAACCTACGAACCTTGGAACAAGGTACGCAGTGCTTTACCATCCTCACCACACTGGACCAATACCTTGGCGCCCAGCTCACGTTAGACGTTGATCCAAGGCAGCCAGCTTTCAGGCGAGAGGCTTACAGCTTTACATCTCATCCCCTGCATGCATCAACCAACTAGACATTTTAACAACGCAAGGAATTCGCAAGAGCAGGCAAAATATACACAAACACTGATCTCTGGCCGAAGGAGACTCGAACCTACGAACCTTGGTAAAGCACTGCATACCTTGTTCCAAGGTTCGTAGGTTCGAGTCTCCTTCGGCCAGAGATCAGTGTTTATATATATATATATATATATATATATATATATATATATTATATATTTATATATATATATATATATTATATATATATATATATATATATATATATATATAATATATATATATATGTTTATATATATATATTATATATATGTTTATATATATATATATATATTTTATATATATATATATATATATATATATATATATATATATATATATATATTTATATATATTTTATATATATATATATATATATATATATATTATATATATATATATATATGTTATATATATATATATATTATATATTTTATATATATATATATATATATATATATATATATATATATATATATATATATATATATATATATATATATATATATATATATATATTATATATATAAATAATATTAATATATATATATATATATATATATATATATATTATATATATATATATATATATATATATATATATATCGTGCCGAATAGGTAAAACTGGTCAATTACCAAGAACTCATTTAAAATTAAGTCCTTTCTAAAATTTTCTCTTATACGTTTAAATATATATTTTTCCATTTATGCTGATGTAAAAATTAATAATTTTGTACCAAAAGGACCTCAGGAAACTCGTCTAACCTAATTTTAACAAGCGCAATTTAATTTAGCCTAATCCAACTAAATGTATTTTAGATAAGTTTACAATAATTTAATAATAAACAAACAAAATCAAATATATTTTTTTTCGTTAGGTTCAAAATGATTTTTGCGAAATTATTGCATATACAAATTTTCGCTTGTCTTGTTAAGTAAGAAGAGCGCTGCTATTTAAGCCAAAATATCAAGTTTTACACATTCTGCACGATATATATATATATATATATATCGTAAATTGGATTCTTTTCCCCTACGGCGGGCTTAGTAACCCCGCATTATAGCATATATAAGAAGGGAGGATATTTGCTTTACAGTAATATATATGAATTCTTTTTATCCACTTTTCCGAGGATGTGGGTGCCACAATTTGCACTAGAAGTGGACCTTATATCTGAAAAAGGATATATGTATCTGGCTGGTAAGGATATACGTCTCTGATAAGGCTGTACTTATTAACTAAGCTCGTGCCCAATTCCTACCAAAATATAATTACTTACTTCAATTAATAGGGTTGACTTGTAGCTTTTGGTCCAGCTTCTTGACTTCCGTAATGCCAGGTTCATTTTTTTCCCCACCAAACTGTGTCGCTAAATGAGAAATTTTCTTGAATTTTTTCTTCAAAATACAAAATAAATATCCAGTGACGTATGAAATATTATTTATATACTTAAATTTCCATTTGCGGATGAACACACAAAATCGCATAATCTGCAAATAAAAACATTCTCAGATTTTAGGTTCCAATATTTTCGTGGTTGTGCAACACTGTGTGATCTCTGAATTTATGGTTTATTGAGTTATTTTAGGTCAGGCGAAGTTACACATGCTAACAGCGGGTTGAGAGCTGACTCAGGTCACTGGGGAAGATCAGAGAAACATGAATCATTTCCTGGCGAGATCTGATTCCTGTGTATACACAGAGATACACATCTCTTCGTGTATATTCACAGATATTCTCTACTCTCGTTGCATATACAAGGAAATACGTACCTCTCAGTGTATATTCACAGGCATTCACGCCTCTGGGAATATTTACGAAAGGATTCACACTTTTTGATGCTTATAAAAATATACACACTTCTTGTCGTACAGGAAACAGAGCAAGTGTTTCCTGACGCGGGTCTTAGCCATATGATGACCCGCAACTGGAGCTTTCAGTCATCTGACTGAGGCCTTTCGCTGGCTTACCGGTTCACCCATTTAAAAATTAATGTTATAAATATAACCATTTATTTTATTCTCGGTGTACATATACGGAAATACACATCTCTTGATGTATAGAAACATATATACACCTCTCAACATACATAAACATACCTGCACATCTTTCTGTGAATATACACAGAGGTACACACCTCTCGATGTATAGACACGGAAATACACACCTATTTGTATAGCCTTATATATGTGCGCAAGGTTCTGAAAATTTGCTGCATTGTTTCTTAACGCATTTTGATATTGAATCCTCGCGAGTGTTTCGAGGCATCATTGATAAACCCATGGAAGTGTCTCATCCACTCTGGTGTCTGTACACTGCATTCCTCTCCAGTCCTCAGCGTCTACTCTTTCTGTAAACCTCTTATCTCGCCTCGTGTCTATCTTTCACACCAGTCTTTGTAGGATGTCATATATTGATGAGAAGTATAGTAGAGAGAGTTGTAGTCGTAGGGTGTTTTTCCTGAAGGGTATATGCCTACCAGGGCGTAGTAGAGGTAGTATTAGTTGTTTGGGGTGGGGGGCTGTTGTAGTAGTGGCAGCATGAGAGTGTAAGTGTGGCAGGGTGTAGCGGCATGATGATCCCTCCCCCTCCCCCTCCTGATCCATCACTGTCAGCGGGGCACCCCAGTGTGCGTCTTGATAAACCTGATCCCCTGCTATTATTGTTGTAGCACACCAACCCGCACCCTCCCGCGTACACGCACACGCACACTCACACGCACATACACAAGCACACAAGTACTCACACATAAATAATCACACAGAGGGGCCAGAAGCTGTGATCCGACAGATGCAACCACATATATGTGAGTACACACACACACTCAGGTCCATACATACACACACATGTTCACACTCAACACTCAACCATGCATATGTTAGCAGAAACACATACAGTGTGTGTGTGTGTGTGTATGTGTGTGTGTGTGTGTGTGTGTGTGTGTGTGTGTGTGTGTGTGTGTGTGTGTGTGTGTGTGTGTGTGTGTGTGTGTGTGTGTGTGTGTGTGTGTGTGTGTGTGTGTGTGTGTGTGTGTGTGTGTGTTGTGTGTGTGTGTGTTCGTGTGTGAATGACTGTCATTCATGTTTTCCAAACTGATGAAAATATAATGAGTAAGACAGTGTAGCATCTATGGTGAAAAGTCTTTCCAGCCTCACCAGCGTAATAGAGCCCAGAGACTGACTCACTGAGGTCAAACAAACAGAACAGGGCTTGGCCATCTACTGTACATATTCTTGGAGTGAAGGTAAAACTCTCGCGGTGCTCCTCCAGAGATTATTCCACAAAATAGAAAATCTAGGAGAATTAAGAGAAACACCACAATATTTGAAAGAAAAAAAAACAACAGAACAAGCTTTTATTGGGTCAACGTTCAGCTACGTGTAGAACTTTACTGTACCAGTGAGTCTTGGATCTACAGATAAGGAGCGAGAACAAGTGTCAGAAAGAGTAAGGGTGACGAGAAGGGTCCTTTAATGAACAGTATTATATAAATAATAGTCCTGATATGTATAAATGATCTGCGAGTAGGGACTGATTCCATGGTGTGTACAGTTGTAGACAACAGTGAGAAGATATGTTGCGGAGGATATGAATATGCTACAGGGAACTTGGACAGGTAGTGAAGGTGTTCAGATATGGAGCTACTGGTGTTTAACCTCAAAAATTTCAAGGTCACGCCACCTGGGGAAGGGAAGAAAATACCTGAGACAGAGTAAAGTCTGGGAAGAAAAAAATCGATGGAAAACTATCCTGAGGAGAATTTTACTTCTTATATCTAGCCAAGTCGCTTCCTGGGAATTAAAGAATCTTTGATGACAATACGAGATATATGTGAGGTCAGAGTATTCATCACTAGCATGAAGCCAAAACATGATCAAGCCAATTCAGAATTTGGATATTATTCAGTAGTATGCTGCGATAGTAAATCCAGAGTTGAGTGGAATGAAGCAAAGAAAATATATTGAAGAACTGAATATAATAACTTTGTTAGAGGGAATGCTGAAACGAGACATGATTACGACGTATAACGTACTTGATGGTAATGGTAGGGCGGAGAGAGATAGACTGTTTGACATGCGAGGAACATTCATCAGTATTATGTGTTCACAGGCTGATGAAGTTGCTATTGGTTCGCTTCTCTGCCCAACCTGTGCTAATGTTTTGTCATGTCACTTAGAAAAGACGTGACTATGCATATGAATGCCATGACTATGAGTGACAATGCGTATGAATACGACAGGTCACATGTATTATATTATGATTATATTAACGGGGAAGCAGCAAACTCGTACACAAAATCTGAGGAATTAAGGACAATCATGAATGATCTGGGACCGGGAATGATATGCTTAAATCTTGGGATCAAGACCTCTTTGTTATTATCAAGGCATCTTTAAAGGCAGCAAACGTATAGAAAAGGTTACTTCATTTTTTTTTTTTTTTTTTTTGTAATACGTACGAAACTTGAATAGATCTTTATAATTGCATTTTTTATTCGTCAGTTAGTAATGCTGAGAATATTTTTGCAACTACTAGTGTATATTATCGTATTCTTAAGAAGCATTAAACGCGTATGGGATATTCAGTATAGTATTATGTTTCGTAGAAAAATACATTCAGCGAACTTTAAATTATTTGAACGTCTAACCTAAAAAAAAAATTCTGATTAGAGAAATAATTCTGTTTACAGTTTATCGACTTAAAAAAAAATAAGGCTTTATGTACCCTATACACCACCAGTAAAAATACTTTGCTTCTTAAATTACCTATGAAAAAATACATAAGCAGACACACACATTTTAAAGATAATTAGTCAAACATTCCCACGATCTTCGGTCTTCCATCTTTGCCCAACTGCTTACATTTAAGAGCTGTATGAATTTACGTCCTTAACAGGTAGACGAGCGCTCATTAGTGGAACGGAAGCAGTTGCAGTCGCTAAAGACCTGAATCACGTTTCCTCGTCAACAGACGTGGTGCTAAGACCCCCATCTTTCTTGAGCAGCAATGTCTGTTTTAAGTATAGTCTCGTAGTCTCAAGATTACACGTCATATTATTCATTTTCTTCTCTTTTCTTATAATAATAATAATAATAATAATAATAATAATAATAATAATATTTTATAATATTAATAATAATAATAATAACAATGATAATAATAATAATAATAATAATAATAATAATAATAATAATAATAATAATTATTATATTAAAAGTATTAGTAGCAGTAGTAGCGGGATAATTAGCAGTTGAAATAATTATTACTATTTCTTGCAGAATATCAGATTATGATTTCCTCAGCAAGAATTAGCGCTGCTGAGAGAGTTAACTCACCAGGACTTTAATAAAACATCAGTAGCAGGAGTCCTTCAAGGAAATTATCCAGAATATAAAGCTGGGATAAACTGATAACAAAAATGTTCCATGAACTGCATCCCGGACGTTATTAAGGTAAATTATGATGAAAAGTTATTTAAATGTTGGAAAGCAATTGGAGAGGTACATCCTGTTACAAATGGTTTTTTTTCCCTCTGTCAGCTAGATGAAGACATTGTCGACTTGATGTTTTTTGTACTGAAGCTAAATTATGTATATTAAAAAGGCATAAACATGTTTGGTGAAGATATATTTCATTTAATAAAATATTTGGAAGTATTGCAGTAAATTATTAAGGGAGATTTTTTCGAAAGAGGTAAGAAAAATTATACCGTCTGGCTAATAGAATATTTATCGCTTCAGCCAAACCCAAAAATCATCGAGGGAAGTTATTCACATTGAGGAAGTGAGAAGAATAAGAAGCACCATAATAACCAGACCCCCAAAATATTCAGGGTATTTCACAATTGACCCACAAGTTTGAAATGAAAACTAGAAGACGTTTAATTCGTCTTTCGTGAGTGAAAAAGAAAAGAGCAGAACGCCAAAGAAAGGTCAGGGCCGAGGGAGGTGATAAGACAACCAAGGTCAGATCTAATCAAGCGTGTTGATTAAAATTTGAGAATCTGACAGTGTAATGAGAGACCCAGATCAGTGAGAAGCAGCAGCACAGGTGAGTCAGTGATTGTTACTACAGTGGTCAACCACAGTGTCACCACCTGCCCGATCTTCATCTGCCCTGACTGTCTTCCAGTCCCCCCACCATAGTTCCGACACCAATCAACAGTTCATCTTATAACTAAGGTCCACGACAGGCTTTTCCTTGACAAAAAAAAAAATGCTAAGATGGACATGTGCCTTCAGATCAATGCCGAGACATTTTCATTCGTCGTTAAATTTCCATTCGCTATTTGTGAGTGAGTTGCAATTTTGTTTCATTAACATTATAGCAGCATCTCCCGTTGTGTATGTGGTATGTGACATATGTGTATTATTGCAGGTATGGCAACATCTCCTGCTGCTACCATCAACTGCCAAACCGTTGGAGCAGAGCATCCTATCAAGTCTTGTAAGTAGTACTTATTTTCCTATCTAGTATCAAACACACACACATACACACGAGTTAGCGTAAATAATTGTATGTGTATATATGTCAGAGTGTCTATGCATACTAACATAGTGTATGCGTATGTGCACATGCTGAAGTATGTTGTATGTAAATCCACAATGTCTCCTGAAACTATACACATCCCGTGGATTTCTAAGGAAAGAGGAAATTTATTGTTTTCCTTTATGGCGCACTGAGCACTGTATTTATGTAGAAATTATGATTGAGTTTATGTTTATATTAAGAAAGTAGTAACCGAGGAATGTTCACACATACACACACACACACACACACACACACACACACACACGGGGCCAGGAGCTCGGACTCGACCCCCGCAACCTCAACTAGGTGAGTATACACACACACACACACACACACACACACACACACACACACACACACACACACACATATACTGAAATTTCTGCTCTATATTTACTCCATTCATCTGATCATTTGCCTTGTTCACTTATTCTGCACTCCATTCCCCTGGGCACGTACTCCTTTTCCATGAATATAACTCCATTCCCCTCATTATGTGCAACTTTCCCCTAATTATGCCAGTTCATGAGGTTGCATGGGAAGCTGATATTACTGTAACTTTGAAGACCTACAAGAATCATCTGAAGTTTCAGCGAGATAAGTTTGAAGGCTATCGACTGGACGAACGTCTTTAAAACAGAAACAATTGTTGCAGAAATTCTTAGATAAGTTGAATTTAGAGGTGTCTTATGAGCTTAATGTTTATAAACAATAAGAGCCCTTTTGGGACAGCTGTGGAAAACGAAGTAATACAGAAAAATAAAAAACAAGATCCCCTTTTTTTGGTGTAATTCACGAATAACCTACAATTCAGAAAGAAAACTTTAAATCACATCATAACTATTTCTTCTGAAGACGCCAGTTATACCGGCGAAATGTTTGTGGAATTAAAGTTTCCCAAGTGTTGCACAGTTATATTCATCAACTTGTTGGTATTATATTCCATCAGTAATTTAAATGCTTTAGAAGACGTCTCTGTCCAGATTTGGAACATTATCAAGCAGCGTGTGAGAGGGAAAAGAAGACTAAGGGAGGTAAAGCCAGAACAATAATCACAGAGGAACCAGCAAGTAGTCCTCACAACTGCTCCGCTGATCAGAGTAGTATAACCCACCAAACAACAGGAAAAACACATATAATACAGCAATTGTCGATTTCACTGAGGTACAAGAAAAAAATTATTTGGCTGGCTAATGGTGGCGGTGGTGGTTGTGGTGGTTGTGGTGGTGGTGAAGGCAGCATCTGTGTTGGTCTGCAGACTTGGAAATGATGCATGAGGTAGTGTGGAGCGAATCTTGTATTGCGGTAATACACACACACACACACACACACACACACACACACACACACACACACACACACACACACACACACAAACACACACACACACACACACATACACACACACACACACACATACACACACACACACACACACACACACACACACACACACACACACACACACACACACACACACACACACACACACACACACACATACACACACACACATGTATAGCATGCAAAATCATGGAAAAGATTGTCAGGAGAAGAATGGTGGAACATCTAGAAAGGAATGATCTCATCACCAGCAGCCAACATGGTGTCAGAGACTGGAAGTCCTGTGTCACAAACCTACTGGAGTTCTATGACATGGTGATAGCAGTAAGACAAGAGAGAGGGGTGGGTGGATTGCATTTTCTTGGACTGCAAGAAGGCTTTTGACACAGTACCACACAAGAGATTAGTGCAAAAACTGGAGGACCAAGCAGGGATAACAGGGAAGGCACTGCAATGGATCAGGGAATACTTGTCAGGAAGACAGCAGCGAGTAATGGTACGTGGCGAGGTGTCAGAGTGGGCACCTGTGACTAGCGGGGTCCCACAGGGGTCAGTCCTAGGACCAGTGCTGTTTCTGGTATTTGTGAACGACATGACGGAAGGAATAAACTCCGAGGTGTCCTTGTTTGCAGATGACGTGAAGTTGATGAGAAGAGTTCATTCGATCGAAGACCAGGCAGAAATACAAAGGGATCTGGACAGGCTGCAGACCTGGTCCAGCAACTGGCTCCTGGAGTTCAATCCCACCAAGTGCAAAGTCATGAGGATTGGGGAAGGGCAAAGAAGACCGCAGACGGAGTACAGTCTAGGGGGCCAGAGACTACAAACATCGCTCAAGGAAAAAGATCTTGGGGTGAGTATAACACCAGGCACATCTCCTGAAGCGCACATCAACCAAATAACTGCCGCAACATATGGGCGCCTGGCAAACCTCAGAACAGCATTCCGACATCTTAATAAGGAATCGTTCAGGACCCTGTACACCGTGTACGTTAGGCCCATATTAGAGTATGCGGCACCAGTTTGGAACCCACACCTAGCCAAGCATGTAAAGAAACTAGAGAAAGTGCAAAGGTTTGCAACAAGACTAGTCCCAGAGTTAAGAGGTAAGTCCTATGAGAAGAGGTTAAGGGAAATCAACCTGACGACACTGGAGGACAGGAGAGATAGGGGGGACATGAAAACGACTTACAAAATACTGAGATTAATTGACAAGGTGGACAAAGACAGGATGTTCCAGAGACTGGACACAGCAACACGGGGACACATTTGGAAGCTGAAGACACAGATGAATCAAAGGGATGTTAGGAAGTATTTCTTCAGCCACAGAGTAGTCAGGAAGTGGAATAGTTTGGGAAGCGATGTAGTGGAGGCAGGATCCATACATAGCTTTAAGCAGAGGGACGATAAAGCTCATGGTTCAGGGAGAGTGACCTAGTAGCGACCAGTGAAGAGGCGGGGCCAGGAGCTTGGACTCGACCCCTGCAACCTCAACTAGGTGAGTACACAAAAACACACACATACACTCACACATACACACACACACATACACACATACACACACACACAGACACATACACACACACACACACACACACATACACACACACACACACACACACACACACACACACACACACACATACACACACACATACACACACACATACACACACACATACACACACATACACACACACACACACACACACACATACACACACACACACACACACATACACACACACATACACACACACACATACACACATACACACACACACACACCATACACACACACACATACATACACACACATACACACATACACACATACACACATACACACACATACACACACACACATACACACATACACACACAGAATAACCCAGGATCAAATGGAAGGACAAGCGCACCCCCCAGAAACACCTGCAGAAGGACTCCAGCCACGACACCCCCAAGGCAACTGAACAATCCAAACCAACCATCACACACACATCCCTCTGTTTCCACCCCCCGCACCACAGTTACAGTATTAGAACAGAAGTTGAAGGTTTGGTACACAAATGCAGATGGATTAGTGAATAAACATGAGGAATGGCAAGAAAGAATCAATGAGAAGTCCCCAGACATCATAGCAGTTACAGAAACAAAACTCACGGAAACAATAACAGATGCAATCTTCCCACCAGGATACCAGATCATGAGGAAAGATAGAAGGGGCAGGGGGGGAGGTGGGGTTGCTCTGCTCGTAAAAAACAGATGGAAATTCGAGAAAATGGAAGGAATAGATGAGACGGGAGAAAGAGACTACATAGCAGGTACACGTCAGTCTGGGGAACACAAAGTGGTCATTGCAGTGATGTATAATCCACCACAGAACTGCAGGAGGCCAAGAGAGGAATATGAAGATAGCAACAGAGCAATGGTGGACACACTTGCTGAGGTGGCAAGAAGAGCTCTCTCCAGCAGAGCAAAGTTGCTGGTTATGGGGGATTTCAAACACAGGGAGACTGACTGGGAAAACCTCGAGCCACATGGGGGTCCCGAAACATGGAGAGCCAGGATGTTGGACGTGGTGCTGGAAAACCTCATGCACCAACATGTTAAGGACACTACCAGAGTGAGAGGGGAGGATGAACCAGCAAAATTGGACCTTGTGTTCACCCTGGGCAGCTCAGATATTGAGGACATCAAGTATGAGAGTCCCCTAGGAGCTAGCGACCTCGTGGTTCTGTGCTTTGAATACATAGTGGAGCTGCAAGTGGAGAGAATAACAGGAGTTGAATGGGAAAAGCCTGACTATAAAAGAGGGGACTACATAGGGTTGAAGAACTTCCTGCGGGAGGTCCAGTGGGACAGAGAACTGGCAGGAAAGCCAGTAAATGAAATGATGGAATATGTAACAACAAAATGCAAGGAGGCAATGGAAAGGTTTATTCCCAAGGGCAACAGTAACAACGGGAAGACCAGAACGAGCCCCTGGTTTACCCGACGGTGTAAGGAGGCAAAAACAAAGTGCAATAGAGAATGGAAAAAGTACAGAAGGCAGAGAACACACGAAAATAGGGAGATCAGTCGCAGAGCCAGGAATGAGTACGCACAGGTAAGGAGGGAGGCCCAGCGACAGTATGAAAATGACATAGCATCGAGAATCAAGACTGACCCGAAACTGTTGTATAGCCACATCAGGAGGAAGACAACAGTCAAAGACCAGGTGATCAAATTAAGGACAGAAGGTGGAGAACTCACAAGAAATGATCAGGAGGTATGTGAGGAGCTGAACAGGAGATTTAAGGAAGTTTTTACAGTAGAGACAGGAAGGGCTGTGGGAAGACAGCACAGAAGGGAACATCAAGAAGGAATATACCAACAAGTGATGGATGACATACGAACAACTGAGGAGGAGGTGAAGAAGCTCTTAAGTGACCTTGACACCTCAAAGGCGATGGGACCGGACAACATCTCCCCATGGGTCCTTAGAGAAGGAGCAGAGATGCTGTGCGCGCCTCTAACCACAATCTTCAACACATCCCTTGAAACTGGGCAACTACCTGAGAAATGGAAGA